ACTTTGGTTCATAAAATAGGATTTTATGAGCATTTATATCTCTATATATAAATCTGAATTCCTGAAGATAACATCTTGACGTTTGATCTGGGAGGAAGCAATAAAATACAACTACTGAATAATTTTTAAAAAAATTTAAACTATTTGTTTTTAAAATAATGATCTCCTTCCCTCTCCTAACCCCTTTTCTGGTATTTGAATTTTTCTAAAAACTTTTAAATTTCCTCTAGTCTTCCCTGATTTGCATATTATCTGCTTTCGGTTTACCTTCTTTACACGAATCTGGGAGAGTGTGCTCAGGCTGTCTGCTCTAAATGTCCAGTTGCTCTCGGTCTGTGTCCCCCAGTTCTGACTCTTCTCCCTCTCCTTTCAAGGTGGAAGCTGCTCCAGTTCGGATTTCTTTCTTCTTCAGAAGTCTGTGGTAGATTGATGAGAAGGGTCTTGCAAATTCTTAGATTAGCTAAGGGTAGGAGAATTTGAGACTAACCTTCAAATATTATGTTCCTTTTTTTGTGTGTTAGGCTGCAGAACAAGCAAAAGCAAGCCCAGCTCTAGTAGCCAAGGATCCTGGTACTGTGGCTAACAAAAAAGAAGAAGAAGATTTAGCAAAAGGTGCGTTTCTTACGTCCCTGATGGTGGGAAGGAGATAGGCTGCTGACTGAATATTTTTTCTCTAAGATATTTAAAGATAAAATAAGTAGGGCTTTACAGCTAAAGCTGAAACCTTCGTTTCCCTCTTCAGTGTCATTCTTTTCTCTCTTCTTCAGAGGCAACTGTTGTTATATGTGTCCTTTCAGTCTGTTTTTACATTTTTACGATACCATGTATCTATTATATAAACAATATCAAGTACTTTTTTGTGTCCAACAAATTCTTTTTTCATAAATAGTATGCTCTAAGTACCATCCGTGACTTGCTTTTTTCACTCAACATTATGGTTAAGATCTATGCTTTCATGATGAGACATTTAAATCAAGTTTATTCGTTTTAACTGCTACATAGTACTCCAGTGTACTAATAAATATACCACACTTTTTCTACCCCTTACTGAGGGACGTGTGCGTTGTTTCTGATTTTTTCACTGTAACAAATAATGCTGCAGTAAGTATTCTTGCACATGTTGTTTTGTGTATATATATGTGTTACTGCCTCTATTATGTGTAACTAAATGTTGTATTATTGGATCATAGGATAGGTATGTTTTCAACTTTGCTAAATGGTTGCATGATTTCCTCTTCCATCAGCAATGTATGGAAAGCTATTATTATTATTATTTTAACCTCTTACAGCACTTGGTATTGCTAGAGTTTAAGTTTTGTGAATCTGATAGGTTTGAAGTGATGTCCAATTATTTTATTTTTTAATTCCATGATTACTAGTGAGGTTGAGTCCATTATT